TTGCCCTTTGCCTGGTCAACTGAGTCTCTAGCCTTAGCCAGATCTTCTTCAGCTTCTGCTCTCAACTTCTCGATCTCATTGCTAACTTCCTTATATCTATCAATCCGCATAGCCACCACTTTGCTCATACGTTCTGCTTCTGTGGTGTCTTTCTTAGCGCTGTCATAGATAGTAGCTCTGAAAAGCGATTTTATCAGCTGATTCCGACGCTCGAGAAGAATTGTAAACAAATACCTGAAGTCTTCCAGCCATTGGTCAAACTCTTCGGATCGATTTAGCAAATTTTCTAACGATGTGTCATTGAGTTTGTTAGCCAACACTCGTTTCAGCAGCTCTTCGGTTTTTCTGTAAATAGTTTGGTTAGAAACGAAACTACTCGAAAGTCATAAAACTCGAAAATGATTACTTGTGTTCCTGTTCAGCTCGATTATGTCGTTTTTCGATGTATTCACCACGATCTAGGGTAGCATTATAATGAGCTTCCGCTTCCAGAGCCCAAGCATCCAAGGTAGCTCCTCCTACAGAAGTTCCACCGTACTAGAAAACGATAATTTCAAATGCATTCTACAAAATTAAGTGAAAAATGTATCTATTAAATACCACACGATGGAGATTGTAAGGTATGTGACTTACTGTATGAAAATGCTTCAAAAACTGAGTTGTGTTGAATACGGTAGCGTAGGTCAGCTGTGATTCGTTAATGATATCTTCTGCTAATTTGGTGAATTGCTCCAATGATGTAGCACTTTTGTTCATGCGATCCATTTGGAATCGAGCCTGTAAAAAATAAATCAATGGTAAAAAAAAGCACATGAGATTCTGAACTATGTAAAGAAATAAATTTACGCCTTCGACAACAGCAAAAGCCTCCTTGGTATATTTGCTGTCTTTGACGATACCGATTTCGCCGTCGCCACCTTCACCAAGGCCTCTCATGAACTCAGCGATCACTAGAAAGAAATTTGGTATTTTAAGAAAAAAAATTATTTATCTTGGTTTTGAGATCATATACTCATAAACTAATTGTTTGTTCCAGTTGCTCTACTACCAAACCGTTTCCTTCCAAAGCCTTCCGCTCGCCCTCACTCCCTTTTTTCTTTCCAAATGTGGGCAAAATTTACTGTTTAAGTTCTTAAAAAAACATAAAAATGATGAATTTAGCATGCAGGAACAGAAGTATGATAATGGCGCAGTAACCACTTACGCTCAGTATTGTTTCCAATTCTAGACAGTCTTTTCCACGGGATCGGCCGCAAATTTGAGAAATTCTGATTAGCCAATGTCACTTCCAACTCGTCCACCATCGTCATCAATGGTAAGTAGCATCCTTGATCACACGCTGAAAGCAACCATTTTCTTGCTTTGCATAATTGGAAAAATTATCCGAAACCCACATGTGCAGACTCCTCCTATGAAAGCATGACGATGTTGACAACGACTGCAGTCACGTCCAGTAACTCCAGGACGGCATTCGCATTCTCCGGTGAGGGGATTGCAAGCACCATGTAGGGAACCGTCGGGGTGACAATCGCAGGATTGGCAGAAACCTCCGGGTACAGATGGCTGACCGAAGTAGCCGACAACACAGCTGGAGTGTTATTTAATATGGAAATTCAAAGTACAAAAAAAGGGCGGAATTTCGAAAAAATGCGGCTGATGGGGACAGTTTCTGTCTTGGAGACCAGTTCTCGCACTTCAAGCGCGACATATAACGCGGACCATTTCGTTTATCGGAGCACGACATGCTTGCAGAGCAGTGAGCTAAGTTCTTGCGTGCACAAAATACGTAAAATAAAATTTTATTGCTTTTTTTGCGAAATGGATTTATTGGTCGAAGCTACAATTTGTAATCTCAAAACCCACCTTTCACAGTATTGTCCGGTATAACCAGGCTTACAAGCGTTACACACATAACCTCTACCGTGATCCACAGCCACGCAGGTATCACTAAAAATGGGTAATTGGCAAGAATTACACATCTGGACAACTGTTACGAACCTGAACGAGTTCTCCACCAATGGACAAGCACACTTCGTGCAAGCATTCTCTCCACCTTGTCTAGCATCCCCAATGTATCCACTCTTGCACTGATCACAGTGGTCGCCCAAGGTATTGTGTTCACAGTTCTGAAAAAAAGAAACTCGTCCACGAGCTGCCCACCCAAAAGTGATAGTTGTCCTACCGTGCAAACACAAGTCTCTGGGTGACAAGTGACCGAGTGTCCATTGCAAGCGCAAGGTTCTGACCAACCGACGAGTGACATATCATCTGGGGAGTTGAGGTAATCCCTAGAAAGTATATTTTAGATATTATCAGGGACCAGTTTTCCCAAGCGTTCCCAAAGATAATCGACCTGCGCAAAAATAATAAAGCACAATTTCCAAAAATATATAGAGAGAGAAAATTTAGAAGCTATTTCATGCGTAGAGAATTTCTAAGAATAAATAGCCCGACAGTCCGGGCCTTTACCCACCACCGACACCTTCCAACACGTACGGGCCTGTAAGCATTCTAAAGGTCTACTAATGCCCTGAACCAATAACAGGACGTGCAAGCTCCGCCCACATACAAGGTTATAATTGGTTACTGTGTATAACAAATATTTTCAAACCTTTGCTTCTTTCTACAGTATCCCGTAGCCGGGTTTTGGCAAGACAATCCAGCAAAGCCTTGCGGACAGTTGCTGCACTGCTCCACCCCGATGGCTGTGGAACCAGAGGCTTCGGATGATTCTGGCACCGAGACGTCGAGCGAAACCTCGGCCATCGAAATTGCATCTCCTCTGGCTGGATAGTTGTAGGTGCCACGAATGTAGATTCCTTGGAGATTTTGTAGAGCAATCATCATTTGTTTGCGGGTGACTGGAAGTTCAGGACTTTGACGGGAACGCCATTCGGATTCGTGGAGGCGAACCTAAAAAGGAATACAATTGAGAAACTTGTCTTCTTCTTTACTTATGACATGTGGTAGAGAAAGAATTAAC